TTAAGAATCGCCTGATCGGCACGCAATGTAGTACTGTGCAACTCTAGCACTCGCATGTCCGCAGGAACACGGTTCCCTACCGATACTTCTACTATATCTCCAGGCACCAGATCTTCTGCCCCCACAGTGACCAGCTTGCCTTCGCGTAGCACGACGGCAGTTTTCGGAACAAATGACTTGAGTGCCTCAATCGCACTCTCCGCCCGGTTTTCCTGCCAGACACCCACCGTTGCGTTTAGCACAAGAATGAGGAGAATGATGAATGGCTCTACAAAATCCCCGGCGTTCTTCTCAAATAATGCCATAACGAAACTTGTCATGGCCGCAAAAAGAAGAATACGAACAAGCGTGTCCTCAAACTGCGCCAAAACCAACTTCCAAAAAGGAGTTGACGGCTTCGTGGGAAGTTCATTACTACCAAATTGTCGAATTCGCTCCTCCACCTCGTCTGCAGAAAGGCCACGCTTTGCATCCACGCGCAGAGACTTCGTGACGGCAGATGCATCCATCGTGGAGGGGGTCGCTGGGAGTGAAAGAAGCGCCATCCCTTGTCTCCGTATTTTGTGTTATTTTTCTCCTTTTTCCCCTTTTTTTTCTTTTTTTAAGCAAAAATCCCCTGGGGATTTTTGAGTTCCACGCGTTCCTTCAGGAAAGTAATAATAATAATAATAATTAAATAAATGAATGTTTTTAGTCAAGGTTTGCTTTTATACTTTTTTTTTTTTGTTTGTTTGTCTCTCTATCCTTGATGCCTGCGCTGCGGGCGTCCCTGAAGAACGGTGGGGAGGAAAAGAGGTGTATTGAGCGCCAAGCAAGACAACAAAAAGTGAGAATTCAGAGAATATGTGAGCGCAAGCCACGGTGGAAAATAAATAAATAAATAAAAAGACATGTGGATGCATTCCTGCCCCTCTCCCTTTCTCTCTTTGTATTTGTGTCCATGCATGCATCCAGTGCACGTCTCTCTTTGTCTGTTGATCTCCATCTCATTCTCGAGAAAAGAAAGAAAAAAACGGTCAAACGTCATACTAAAACAATTTAATCTTCCGTGCCTTGCGATGTTTGATGGCCCCTTTGCGCTGCACCGCCTCCCCATGACGTGCGGCACCCGCTGTAGACGATACAGCCAACACTTCTGTCCCATCCCAAGTATCTTCGGCGCGGTCCAACAGTTCGGGGGGTCCCGCTTCGTACTTTCGAAAAAGATACTCAATCGAATACTTCCATCGCTCCTCGTCGTACTTCTGCCGTTCAAGCAACTTTTCATATTCACGCGGTGTTTTAGGAATCTCCTTGTGTATCCCATGGTCCACAACCGGCAACCCAAGCAACGCGTAAGCCTCTGGCGTGGCGTAAATGGCATACCGCTGGGGCATCAACTCCTCCCGCATAAACTGTCGGCTCACATATACGGTCTCATACTTGCGACCGAACCAGGAATTCTTTTCCTCGTTATACAAGTTCACAAGGAAAATAACAGGGATTTGAATGCTTGGAATTTGCCGCGGTTCCCCAACCTCTAATAAAGGTCGATTGCGAATCGTGCATGGGTACGGCTTGGGAAGATAACGGATGTCATACTCGCCAGGACGATGCTCACTCATTGGATACCGCGTCGCATTCTCCTTCATGCGTAGTGCGTAGTTCGACAAAGCCATGCGCTTCCAGTAGGGTGTGCAAGCAATACGGTCACTGTAGCCTATTGAGACGCCAAAAGAGCCACCAACCTCACCACCTGGCGGCGGCGGCATCGTGACCTTCACGTCGTGACGGGGTGGCGGCACCCACGGCGCCACGCGTCGAATGCCCGTTCGCCTCATTCGGCCAGTGTGAGTATTAAAACTATTTCCTTCGGGGCAAATGCCTTTGGGAGCAAACCCAACGCAACCGCGCGGTTTGACCTCCTCCTCTTTCACACCTCGCAAAAACCCGCCGGTGTTGACACCCGCAAAGTAAGCATCCCAATGATGGTTGGAGACAATCGGCAGGACACAAAAGAAGAAGAAAAATAATAATATTAATAAAACATACTGCGTAAAGGAAATCAAAGTTCATAAAAGACCGTCTGTGTGGCCTCACGTAAAACCGCATCATATGTTTCCAAAAAAAAAAAACACCATAAACAAAAGCACCAATACACACATATATATATATTTATATGTATGTGTCGCAGGTAAGAGAGAAATCCTTTTTTTTTTCCCCTCAAGTTCTTTCCTTCTCGAATTTTTTCATCCGTTAATTTCCTTCTCTTTCTCTTTCGCTCTCTCTTTCTCTCTTTCTTTGTCCTTACCTCTACACAGGGTTCATTTACTTTTTAGCCACTAATTTGTACTTGCAAAGAGTCGTCCAGCATCTGCATTAACTGGGGATAACGCCATTCAGCGTACAGCATCAACAATGAGGAGATGATCTCAGACCACCAAGCTCGCAAAAGCATAAAACCCAATTGCCATCGGGAGCTTGTCCTTCTGGCAACAACGGCCGAGTATCGTAACATACGCAGTGGACGGTTGACAGGCCTCTGAAGCTCCCTATTGATCGCCTTGACAGCCATGATATTTCGTAACACTAATGCGTATTCCTTCGGGAGTCCAGACACGATGTTATTCACCTCATGCATCCTATTCCGGACCTGCTCTCGCATCATCTCCCATGGTTGCTTTTGTCGTTAGATTTGTCTCTGCACTAAATGCCTCATACGGGTGCTGCAGGAAGCATGATGCAAAGAGCGCATAATCCTCACACCCAAAACGCTTTGCAACTTGTTTTAGAGTAGGGGTGTCATGTGTGACAGCGGCGGTCCAGATGCACGCTAACTCGGCACGCATCTCGTCCGACAACTCTGTGCACAGACCAAAGTCAAGCAAAACAACTTGCGGCTGCCCATTCGAGAGGCGGTGCACAAGAATATTCCCCGCGTGGGGGTCGCCGTGTACAAAGCCTGTGATAAAGAGCTGGTATGCTATCGCGTCGTAGAGCCAGGCGGCAACGGTTCGGGTTTT